CACCTTAGGTGTATGTGGCTGGCGCCTTAGCCACTTGAGCCACAGGCACTGAGCCAAAATACCCTTTTCTTTTCCAATTTATGCTCATGGAGCTTCCCGGCTCTCCATGAATTGGCAACACTGTAGCAGCTGTTTCCCATCTTTCAGAAGCAAAAGAAACCCAGAGGCCCCAGAAACCTCTTTCAAATGCCCAGAACCTAAACTTCCTGTAGAAAGCTGTTTGATGGTGTCAAGAGTAGTCCGTCCTCAGTACTCATTTCTCTGAAAATTGTCTTCATTTGGATCTTTACCCTACCTCTCTCTGGCCCTTCCACCCCTCACTGCAACACTACTTGTGGCACACACTGGCATCACATTAATAACTACTGCTGCATCACATTAATAACTACTGTGGCCACTAATGCATCATCTTCTATGTGACAGAAATTGTGTTAAAACCTTTATACACACTACAGTAATTCTTAGAACCCTTTCAGTATGTCTTTTCCCATTTTAAAGACTAGGAAACTCTCAGAGAGGTTAAGCAACTTGTATCAGGTATAGTATAATTGATCTGACACACTTTCCACTTTGTCTCTTTACTCTTTCACTAATATTCCTCCCACAGGATCACAAGATGGGGAAAATGGGACTGTAGACAAACAATATAGCTACGGGAAGTTGGAAGGGGTAGCTGCTCTTCTCTTGACTTCTCATTAATAATTAAGCCTCTAGTTCCTAGTCTAGCTGACCTGTATCCTCCTGCTGCTGACCATGTTTAATGGAGACTGCTGAATTGTAAGCTAAATAATTCACTTTCTTTTTTCTTTTTTTTTTGAGATGGAGCCTCAAGCTATCCCCCTGGGTAGAGTGCCATGGCATCACAGCTCACAGCAACCTCCAACTCCTGGACTCAAGCGAGTCTCCTGCCTCAGCCTCCCAAGTAGCTGGGACCACAGGCGCCCACCACAACACCTGGCTATTTTTTGGTTGTAGCCATCATTGTTGTTCAGCGCCCAGGCTGGGGGTTCGAACCCGCCACCTTAGGTGTATGTGGCTGGCGTCTTAGCCACTTGAGCCACAGGCGCCGAGCCAATAATTCACTTTCTAGAAGCAGTCTTTTCCTTTTTCTTTTCTTCAGAAAGAGAGATAAACACACCATCTGTTTATAGAGCTCTATCTGCCAATAAATTTCTGTTTAGTGAGAGAGAAGATTAGTGAGAGTTAAGCTGATAGGACATAACTGATAAACTATTTTTCATTAGAAAGAAAACAGGAAAATAATCACAACTGAAGTCATAATACAGCATTTTCTTTAAGACTGAAGGGTAAGGACACTGGTCTCACTACTATGGGCAAAGAGTAACTTTTTTTGTTCCTCTCTAAGCCTTTGTTTCCTTATCTGAAAATTGGAGATAAAAATACTACTGTCACAGGGCTGCTATGAAAATTAAATGAAGGCACATACATTGCCTGGACCATAGTAGCTGCTCAAAAAATAATAGCAAGTGAGATGCGCAGGGTACATAACCTAAGGATACTCTCTCGAGTTCATGCAAGTGCCAACCCTGCACTTTTTTACTTATACAAACCCAAGAATGAGGGCCCCTTATACTAGTCCCAGACTGGATCCAGAAAGCACTGAAAGGAAGCTAGAAAGTATAATAGCTATTATATGATCCTAGCCACAATGTCAGTGCTATCCAACAGTAAGACATTATCTATGGAAGGAAGAGACAGTGAGCTGCCATCTTGTCTTTTAACTCAAAGAGGTTGTGTTCAAAGGCCCTAGGCAGGTCACAATACCTTAATGCCTATTCTGTGTCTTCCATCCTAGCTATCTGTGAATTCCCCAGTATTAACATACATCTCATTTTCATTTTAAAATAAATGAAAAGGTAACTTTGAACATGATAAATCAGAAATTAGGAGAGTATGACTCGTACGCCTGTTTATCCTGTCCCAAGGTCCATTCATGATCAACAACTACCTCCCACAGTGTGTCATTACATATTCAGATCAGCTTGGGCCAAAGCAAGCTTCTCAACATCCTCAGGGGTCCTCTCCATCAGATGCTTCTGCTATCTGATATTCTCTCATCATTGGAGTTTGCCAGTTTGCCTATGCACCAAGGACAGAGCAGACCATATCTCTTTTCTGCACGGGAAGCTCCTAGACAATGTAGTGAAGTATGAGCACCACTCTAGTAATGTTACCAAAAACGGAAGCTATTTCTTGTTGTGGCTATGACCTCTGGCAGCAAGAGAACCAATCTTGGTTTGAGGAGATGAAGGTGCCTGGCATCTCTACTAGTTAATCTATTCGGAAAGAATTATTGTATAAGAACTAATAACAGAGTGTTCACTTACAAATTTCTGGGAAGAATGTCAGGACACATCCCTCTAAAGTCCTATACTTTTTTTTTTTTGAGATGGAGTTTGACTATGTTGCCCTTGGTAAAGTGCTGTGGTGTTACAGCTCACAGCAACCTTAAACTCTTGGGCTTAAGTGATTCTCTTGCCTCAGCCTCCCAAGTAGCTGGGACTACAGGCGCCCACCACAACGCCAGGCTATTTTTGTTGTTGTTGTTGTTGAGCTGTCACTGTTGTTTGGCAGGCCCAGACTGGGCTCGAACCCGCCAGCCCGGTGCATGTGGCCGGTGCCCTAGCCACTGAGCAACAAGCGCCGAGCCTACTCTAAGAATTCTTAACTCGGTAAGTACAACAAGATGGCAGATCACTAAATAGTAGGGATAGCAGAATAGGTAGTAGGATTCAATGCCCCTAGCATCTTCCACAATGTCAGAAACAGTCAAGGGTGCACTACACATTTAGTAAACACATAGGTGATATGTCATTCAGAAACATGTAATTTATGAGTCTGATAAACTACTTCGATAATTTAAATATTTCCATCCCAAATCCTTTTACGCTGCAGAAAAAAGACAAAATCTCCAGCTACTGAAATAAGATTTCATACAAACATAAATATATTTAAATTTTCTTTTAACTATAAGTAAATTCAAATAGACTATTATAAAACAGAATACACAGCTGTCATTAAAACAAAAACCAGGATGTTGAGTGGGTGCTGGTAGTAAAAACGGCAGGGCCAAAACTTGCTCAACTATAAACTGGAACCCAGTATGGCTTACTGAACCTATCCTATTGCTAATGGTTTTGTCAACCTTTGGACCCTAAAAATTCAGGATTTTCTCCTTCTTCCTCTGCCAGCTTTGGTCTGTGTCCGGCTACCTGGCCGGACAGTAAGTTGCTTTTTAAAGTCCACTAAGCAATCTGTGGCTTCTGAAATGGAAGCAAAAGACTTGATAGGAGACTCATTTAAGTTGAGATGCAGGGAGGAACTCTGCATCTCTCTGCTGCAGCCTGCCTCTTCTTCCTTTGGTGAGGGTACCCTAATAAGAAGAGGAAAATTTAGATTCAATATACACCTACTAAGCATCAAGGACATGCTATGCACTGCACCAAGGGCCTTTATACCTATTATTAGTACAGATAATCTTTGTAATAGTCTAGCCAGGTAAGTACCATCATTCCCTTTTCAAAGATGATGTTATTGGGTAAATCATATACTTAAAAGTCACACATGATAGGCATTGAGAGAACGAGAATTCAGACCCAAATTCCCAAGTTGCTTGAAATCCAGGTCAGAAAACAAGGACTGGATAGGAATAGAGGTAGGGGGAGGAAGACATAGCTTTTGCTGTTTGTTTTAACACAATGAGTGAATTGAGCCATCTATCCAGTTCTTAGCCTCGATAAATGAGACTCAGAGTTATATACAGAGAGAGGTCATAATAGTTTCACAGTGATTTCTGTGGCAACAGTTTTAATGTCCGACTACACACAGAACACAAGACAAGGCCTGTACTTTTCAGAACTCAGCAGTTTTGAAAAGTCACACTTCAATGTATATCCCAATTCACCTGAAGGCTCCTATTTCTGAAGACTTGGTCTTTATCTCTGCATCTGTGATAGGAAAGAAAAAGTAATAATATTAGTAGTGTTCTTAGTAATCACACTACTTCTCACTGATCTTATGCTTCCTATGCAGTATATATTTCTTCTCATCGGGCTTATCCAAGTAGTTCAGATCCCCAATCTCTCAGACCAATTAAGTGAGCATTAGCACCCAACAGGCTCAGCTGCAGAGGTACCAAGATAAATACTTCGGAATGAACAACATCTGAATAAACTTATTTCAAATCTGGACTTGAGGAACAAGGAGCTGCCAAAGGAAATCTGCCACCTGCAGAGATTCACAACCTGGAGACCTGAAAGCAGCAGGATATAAGGCTTGGAGAGACTGCCTTTTTACAGTGATCAGAAGGCACAACAGATTTGCTTGGTGGGAGTGAACTATTAGAACTAGATGATAAGTAGCTCTCACCAGACTTAAGGAGAAGTTCCTCTTCCAACTGCATGTGGTTAATTTTAACAATAGCAACTAAAACAACAGTAATATTAGCAGCTAACATTTATCAATAGCCTACTTATGCCAGGAAGCATGTATGGAACTTTACTAGATATAATCCTTACAACCTATGAACTTGGTATCTACTGCCCCTTAAATACTAGGCATAAAGAGGCAGAATCACTATGTACAATTCCTTAGAAGCATAGGTTGGGATGCTAAGCTAATGGTATGTAACATAAGAATGATGCATATATTATTAGGAAGCGATAATGTCTGCATGTCTAGTCTTCCATATCTGTTCCTCTAGGACAGTGGTTCTCAACCTTCCTAATGCCGCTACCCTTTAATACTTAACTGTAATTTTGCTACTGTTATGAATCGTAATGTAAATATATGACATGCACGATGTAGTTTCATTGTTACAGAGGGGTAGCAACCCACAGGTTGAGAACTGCTGCTCTAAGAGGTATACTTGGAGCTTGTGTCATTTCCTTGTGGTTTGCAGATGTTTTTTTCCCCAGTTCAATAGGCAATCCTGATCCTAGGTGCTCTAAAGCCTAAAAAAAAAAACACATAAGATAAGGTACCTCTCATTGTTCTTAGAGAGAGATGACCTGGATTGAGTCTCAAAGGCTGGCTAATTGGGTCAAATGTGCACCCAAATAACCCCAACAAATAGGGGATTGGCAGTGGCTATCTTCACAAGAAGGCCTTAGGAAAAAGCTCAGAAAACTAGTCCTGGGATCCTCACCTGTAGTCTTGTGCTCCGTATGTTCCAAGAGACCGAGGAGTCGTCCTTCACTATGGCCTCTTTCCTATAACAGAGAAAAATTTATGAAGGGGTTACTTCATGGCACAGAATCTAAAATATAACTTCCTTAGCCCAGATCACATCTGTTTATAGAAGAGAAAAAGTATGGGGGTATAGCACTAGGGAAGTCTTTTGCTTCTTAATAAAGGAGGATACATAAGTATAAAAGCAACCTGTATGAATAGAATGTATCTTTGTGCCAAGAATACTATGGATTTAAAATAGTAAGTTTCAAGATAGCTTCTACAGGAAGTGATGCCAGAAGAATAAACCAGCTGTATGATATAACTAAAAATTTACCTATAAACCAGAATGCCAAATCACCTCCTCGAAATCCCCTCATACATAGTTCTCTGTCTTTTGGCATGACAATGACTTCCCCATCTTAGTGTGGAATGAGCTGCTGCTTTACACCTTTGATCTTAAGGCTACGACCTGCTCTTCCAGATCTCTAATCTTCCCAGTGACCAGGTTCCATAGCATTTTAAAGCTAGGCATACAAGGAAGTCAACAGAGTTGCTTTTTCCTGGCACTGGTATGAATTGGATATCCTTTTAGGAAATCTAGCTGGTGGTATGTTTCAAGAGACTTTAAAATGTTTATATATATATATTACCTTAATACCTCCACTTCAAGAAATCTATTTTAAAGAAATAATCAATGGTACAAAGACTGATTAATGTTTTAAAAACAGTCATATACTACAAAAGAATCAGAAAGAACCTAAGTGTTGAAAAACATGAGAATGGTTTATACTACACTGTTAAGTTTTTTTGTTTTGTTTTGTTCTGAAGAGACAGGGTTTTAGGCTATTGCCCAGGTAGGTTTCGAACTCCTGACCTCAAGTGATCCTCCCACTCTGGCCTCCCAAAGTGCTAGGATTACAGGTGTAAGACATTGTGTCTGGCCCACCTTAAGTTTTTATAAATCTAAGAAAGAAAACTACATGTATAGTATAGTACTATGCATAATACAGAATGTAATGTAGTACTATAAAAAGTATGCATTGTCTGTGTACGTACATATATGTGGGAGGTGTCAATTACATTAAAAATGCATAGGAAAAAAAGATAGGAAGAAAATAGCTCAAAACATTAAAAGTTGTTATCTTTTCCAGTTTTGGGACTAGAACTTAAAAAAAAAAAGTTATCTTTGAGTAGTTAAATTATGGGTGATGATTTCTTTCCTTTTTTTTTTTTTTTGAGACAGAGCCTCAAGCTGTCCCCCTGGGTAGAGTGCAGAGGCATCACAGCTCACAGCAACCTCCAACTCCTGGGCTCAAGCGAGTTTCCTGCCTCAGCCTCCTGAGTAGCTGGGACCACAGGCACCTGCCACAACGCCCGGCTATGTTTTGGTTGCAGCCGTCATTGTTGTTTGGCAGGCCCGGGCTGGATTCGAACCCGCCACCTTAGGTGTATGTGGCTGGCGCCTTAGCCACTTGAGCCACAGGCACTGAGCCGGGTGATTTCTTCTGATTTTTAAAAAAATTTCCGTATTTTCTACAATGAACAATGTATTAATACTACTTTTCAAGTTAAAAGAAAAAATAATTAAAAATTAAATATTATTTAAGGTAAATAGGAGGGAAGAGGGAAGAGAGGAGAGAGGAAACAGCCTAAAATAGAACTGGCCTCTTACAACTGATAATCAGGAGGGTTACACAGTCTTTCACAAAACACTTCACACATACCTTTGGGGTCCTCAGCCTCTGCTGCCACTTCCCCTCCACAGCTGAGCATGCTCTACTTCTCCCTGCAGGCCCATCTCCTTGGTCACCCCTTGCAAGCTGGAGACAGGAGTCCACATGACACTGATATTCTCTCAGTGGGACCAGGGATTTACAAAGATAACACTTCTCATTCCTAGCCAATCAGAAAAAAGGGAGAAACACAGTTTTAAGATGTACTTTTGCCTCTGGGCTCCTGGATATGTTTGAAATTCTGTTTTTACAACTCAAAGTTATTCTGGGAAGGAAACATGTCAACCAATGCAGATTCACTCAGTGGGATCACCAGTAAAACTAATCTGATGCCAATCAAAAGGACTGAGTGATTAGCAGTTTTCCCTGGCTGTTGCTCTGTACCCTGCTGTTGCAGGCAGTGGGATGGTAATGAAATCAGCTCTTCTAACTATCTCAAACAATGCTGATTGCTCTTCAGACATAAAATGTTCTTTCAAATTCTTCTGAAATTAAATGTAATAGTTTTCTCAAAGAGAAGTTAAAACTTCAACAGAAAAGGGAACACCAAGAGCATTAAATCAAGATGACATTTTTATCAGGTGGATGAACTTGTCTGTCTATATGCTGACTTCCTCAATTCTACAACCTGAAACATCAACCAGGAAGTTACCAAAACCATGTGGTTCTGCTGGAGGCTTTTACATAACTATATATACAGTCATTTTTATCTTTTTATTAACAGTAGAGTTGAGGTAAGGCTTATTGGGTATCAGTGAAAATGAAATTGTTGGATAAAATGAAGAAAATAAATATTTATTAAAAAAATATTTTCTCTGTGGTGAAAACCTATGCAAGCTCCTTTAAACAAAACTACTCAATTTTTCAGGCCCATCAGGAAGGAACTATGCTCTCCAAGGTCCTATAGCGAATAACTGCCAGAACTCAGATCTGCCTGGTTCATAAGATCAACCTAGTTTTAAGAAGCAAAAGAACACTTTTCAAAGCATACTATCTTGGATTTCTCTTTCTGGTATTATTCAGTAACTACAGCAAGAGTTACTGAATAGATTAGTAACTTGGATTAGTTCTAAGAAAGAATTTCTCTGGGGATATTTAAAATAGAAGAAATAAGCCTCTCAAGTATTTAATTACCTGAAAGAATGCAAGCCAAACCCTATCTAATGAGAAAAACTAGACTAGTATTCCTGTTAAAAGTTTATCAATTAAAACAAAAGTATTTATTAATTCCCTACTACATGAGAGTAGCAGCATTTCGAAGATGTAGGCACTTTTTAGAGTCAGGTAGACTATGCCACTTCTGGCCACATGATCTTAACCAATTACATATAATTTCTCTTTATTTATTTTAAAAAAGAATTTCTTCTTCATTTTACAGTGGCTTTAAAAAAAAAAGAATAACTGCCTTATCAACAATTTTGAGAGTTATGAAGTAAATAAAGCGCCTAGCATAGTAACTGGCATGTAGCTGGTGCTAAACAAATAGGTACTACTGTTATGCTGTCACAGACATCTATTATTTGAGGCTAGGAATATAAACATGAATGAAAGCAAATATTTGCCTTAAATAACTCATAGCCTAGATAGGGACACAGAAATGTTAAAAAAAAATAATTACTGCAGGGCAGCACTTGTGGCTCAAAGGAGTAGGGTGCTCGGCCCCATATACCAGAGGTGGTAGGTTCAAACTTGTCCCTGGCCAAAAACTGCAAAAAAAAAAAAAAAAAAAAATTACTGCAATACAATGTGAAGAATACAGTCTTAGAAGAATATCTACACTACAGCAGGATTCCAAGTGGAGAAGTCATCAGCTCTGCTCAACTGGATTAGGAAAGACAGACCTGAAATTTTATTGTGTTCCACAAATAAAAGTTTCTGCCTAGTGACTAACTGCTCTAATGTACTTTGGTAATTTCTTTACTTTTAGGAGGCAGTACCTACACCTGACTCCTTCATTAAAATAAGCTTAGTCAAGTTGCAACCCACAACCCAAGAAAGCTTTCTACATTGTCCAACCTTTTGTAACTCAACTTCTGTACTATTACACAGCAAAATGTTCACTGCTTCCCCAAAGCACCAAACACCAACATGCAAATTAAAAAAAAAAAAAAGCAGAAAAGAAACCTAAGGACAATATGGAAATGGAATGGGTGGCAGGATTGTTTTCATGTCTTGAAAAGGGATACAAAAGCTTTCTAAATTACAGAAACTGAGAGTAAGAAATTTGGCAGGCCAAAGAAATACAGGGCAAGATAAAAACTGGTCTCTTTATTTGATCTAAGCAATGGTAGTACTTTAAACAAGCATTCTGTGAACACAGAAGACCTACTTACTTGTCAATGTCTAAGGAAGTCTGAACAGCTGTCCCACTGTCGCTCTTGATCTTGGCCTCTTTTTGTCTCCGAGTCAATACTTCCAAAAACAACAAAAAATACATAGACACATATTGTTACCTGGCAATAGGCAGACTCTGAATATAAACGGCAGAACATACAGGAAAAAGTAGTTTAAAATACTACTTAGCTCAGGCATGGTGACTCATGCCTGTAATCCAGCACTCTGGGAGGCCAAGGCAGGCAGATCCCTTGAGCTCATGGGTTCGAGACCAGCCTGAGCCAGAGCAAGACCCCATCTCTAAAAATAGCCAGGAGTTGTGGCGGGCACCTGTAGCCCCAGCTATTTGGGAGGCTGAGGGAAGAGGATTGCTTGAGCCCAGAGTTTGAAGTTGCTGTGAACTATGATGCCACAGCATTCTACTGAGGGAGACAAAGTGAGACTTGTCTCAAAAAAAAAAAAAAGTCCTACTCCATTATAACAAGTCTCAGCCTTTTTGGTATTGAGAATAACTGTAACATTTGTACCAAAACATCCAGCTACAAGATATCCCCTATTTGCTAAGCCATGAAATCTAAAAATCTAGTCCACACTAAGAAAGTTTTCTGTGTATTACCTCAACTTGCAGTACTCAAAGGAGAGGTTTATACTTTCTCAACCAATATTCATACATGCCAATAAGTTACTCTGAAATATGGTAATGACAGTTACATCTAAGTACCTAAGCTCTGATCTTTACAAAACTCAACAAAGTAATCCATTTATAAGAAAAGAAACTGCAAAGGGAGGGGGGAGGAGGGATGGAGGGAGCATAATCGGTGGGACCACACCTAGGGTGCATCTTACAAGGGTACATGTGAAATTTACTAAATGTAGAATATAAATGTCTTAACACAATAACTAAGAAAATGCTGCAAAGGCAATGTTAACCAGTTTGATGAAAGTATTTCAAATTGTGTATAAAACCAGCACATTGTACCCTATGACTGAATTAATGTACATAGCTATGATTTACTTTTAAAAAATAAAATAAAATAAAGAAATTGTAGCTCAAAACAGTTTATACAGGCAGTTTTTTCCATAGTACTAGGACCACCTCCAATTCTAGTGGAGGTAACTTTAGCTTATGTCCAAATACTCTCGCATCAAAAGATGTCTACCACAGAAATCTTTTAAATCTTGGACGTTATTTAATCAAGTGTTTTCCGGTCTTCATTCTTTGCAATAAGAAGAAAAACTATAGCTAGGCATTGTGGTGGGTGCCTGTAGTCCCAGCTACTTGGGAGGCTGAGGCAAGAGAATCACTTGAGCCCAAGAGTGATGCTACAGCACTCTACCAAGGGAGACATAGTGAGACTCTGTCTCAAAAAAAAAAAGAAGAAAAACTATAACCATTTCACTCAAACCCTTTCTTCCTTCTTCTTAACATCTGAAATTCCCACACCAGAGAATTTAGAAAGGTTACTGGTTCACAAAACAACCAGGCTGGAAAGTATTTATCTAGTTTAGGAGTCAACAAACATTTTCTGTGGGGCCAGATGGTAAATATTTTAGGCTCAGCAGGCCATATGGTCTCTGTCAAAACTACTTAACTTTATCGTAGGAGGGCAGCCACAGATAATACATAAATGGGTGTGATGTTCCAATAAAACTTTATTTACAATAACAGGTATCCAGCTAGACTTGGCCCCTGACAGGCCAGTTTGCCTACTTTTCCAGTCCAACCTTCTATTCATACAAAAATACCTGCTATAAACATCTCTGACAAGTAATCATATTGTTTCAACCTGACTATACCCTTTCACTGAAGGAAATTCAAGTCCTTGTAGGAAAACCCCATTCTATTGCTACACAGTAATGTGGTCCAACCTGCATTTATTGAGGATCATATGAATAAATTTATCCAACTTTCCACAAACTAGCTTTTTGAACACAAAGCTACATTATAACCTTGGATTTACTCACCTGTCTGCCTTACTAAATAAAATGTAGCTTTCTTCAGAGGAGGGACCATACATAGTTACTAAGCCATCCTATTAAGACTCAGACTGCAGAACCTTTGAAATGCCTAGGTTAACTTCTAATCCTTATGATGATCCTCCACACTGGTATTATTACTTTCTTCCCACTTTAACAGGGTGGAGACAAACTGAGGATTGATTTCTACCAAGCTATCACAACTTATAAGCAGTAAAACTAGGATAGAACCTAGATCCTATATTCATGTTTACCTTCCTAATTAATCTCTTCTAGACACAATCCAATTTGTCAGTTTTCCATAATATGTGTGGCACCCCAAACTGAACCCAACACTTAACAAGCAGTCTAACCAGTAAAGAGGTGAGAAGAACTATGAGCTATCTCATGTGAATGCTTAGTCTAGTAATTCAGTCTAGTCTAACCAGTAAAGAGGCGAGAAGAACATGAGCTATCTCATGTGAATGCTTAGTCTAGTAATTCAGGCAAGGGTATGTTTGATTTATTGACAATCCTGGTGTACTACTAGCTTAAATTGAGTTTAAAGACAATTAAGATCTAATCTCTATTCTCCAAAATCATCTTAAAATACAATGTTGTCAAGACTGGACTCTTTTTTTTTTTTTTTTTTTTGAGACAGAGCCTCAAGCTGTCCCCTGGGTAGAGTGCCGTCAGAGCCTCAAGCTGTCCCCTGGGTAGAGTGCCGTG